TTTGTGGAAATTTAGTAGGGGGTCTTATAATTATGGGACATCCTGTATATGTGTGATAAAATTTTGCGGTTCCAAAAGTTACCGAAAATTGTAGCCGGAACCGTTAAATCAACAAATAAAGGATGTTCGGTAATAACTGAGGATAATTTGTTATTCATATTTTTCATACTATTGTCGGACGTAGAGGACTGAAATTTTAATCACATGTATATCTAAATATGTTCTTCTATTTCTGAAAGTTTCAGCTCTCCAACTAATGCTAATGGTAAAATACAACCATAAAATTGGAATGGTTAAAAAGTGTTATCAAATAACAGAGGATAAATTTGTTAGTGCTGTTTTTCATCGTTCTATAGTTTTTGTTATACCCAGCCAAACAAAAATTTTGAAAAACGCGTTTAAACGCACAATCGGGAACCACGACTGTGATCCATTCACGCTCATTAAAAAAACGCACGGAAACGCGTTTATTGGCGTGTTTTGTAACTTTCTGGGCGTCAAAACGGCGAAAATTCCAGCTTTTGAGCGTTAAAACGTATTGTTTTTAAGTTCTAGAATAATAGTGCGTTTTAACGCTCAAAAGCTGGAATTTTCTTCGTTTTGACGCTCAGAGAGTTACAGAAAACGCCAATAAACGCGTTTCCGTGCGCTTTTTTAACGAACGTTAATGGCTTACAATCGCGGTTCCCGATTGTGCGTTTAAACGCGTTTTTCAAAACTTTTGTCTGACTGGGTATGAACTTGAAATTTTGTTTATTCTCATTTAAAACACTTTCGAATTTAAACACAACAGATATTTTTTCTGCAGATATTTGAATTTTAATAAAAACAATCAATCTTTCATGGTTTTAGCTATAACAACGATTAATGCCAGCAGAGGCCGCAGCGGAGTCACAAAAGAAGAAGGATTTCGAGAAGGAACTTTTTGAAAAAAAGAAGGAAGTGCAGAAAAAAATGAGGAAAAGAAGGATTTTTCAGAAGTCCTATGTTGCAATACTGAAATTATATTAGAAGACTTTCGCTTAAGAATAAAAATGAAGTCAAATGAGATCGAATTTCAAACATCAATAATTGTCTCCTTGTCATACGATATGTTTGTATGGCTATCCTGGGTGTGGGTGTGGATGTGGATGTGTCTTCTTTCGTTGATCATCCACAAGCCACTCACACCCAACCATGTCTACACCTACACCTGATACAGGAGCTCTGGAAAATGTTTCTAATTCCGCTGCTCGGTTTCAATCACGCTAGAAGTTTGCACTAGACGTTTTAGCCCGTGTATTGACTCGCGAAAACAATTGTTAACTTTATGGCGCACGATGCTCTTTCTATTTGCAAAAAATTTGCAACACAATGCAATGCCACATTCCTATTTGTTCCTTTTTCCAAATAGTGAGACAGAATTATGATAAATAAATAAATCTGGCCTAGATGTGAGAAGTTAAGGTTTTCGAAGTTAAGCTAGCTGATTAACTAAATTTTGACGCTAAAAGCTGGATTCATTCCGTAAAATTTTTTTAGCTTGCTGACAGATATTTTTATTCATCTACTATTATCACTATCTCATTTGAATCGAAATGCTCTACTACTCCTGATTCCGGATACGCTTCTCTCGAGGTTCTTGCTCTAAACAGTGTTTCAAGGTTGTTTGTTATGTTCCGCAAACGATTTAGGTTAACTGGACAAATGTCTAATTTCTTGATCGATGTGTCTGTACACAACTTGAAATACTGCTCTAGTGCTCATGTCGATGTAAAGTTCAATTATGACTTATCAGTATTTCGAAAAGAAAAATTAAAATGTCCTTGAAACCCCAACTCGATCATAAACTGAAAAAGCATAAAGAGAGTTACATTTCAAACGGAGAGGTCTTAGATCATGTCTGGCATTGATTAATCAATTTTAGTTGCGTGGAAGACTGACAATTAATTGGAAATTGAATTGAAAAACATTTACGCATAACACTCTATTTTCGTCCATAAGCACTATCTTACTTACTAAAAAATGTTGATTGTCTTTCTCCCTTTGTTTATCAATGACAATACTAGTATAAACTGCGTTTTTGTTATGTTCTACTGAGTAAAATTCTGGGCCGAACATCAATATTAAGGAATGACTATTCGCGTAACTATCTATAAGACGAGCTATAATGTAGCTCAACATCGATTATAGTTGGTGACTGAGTAAATGCCCCCAACTTTGAGCAGTCAGAGAATTCCAGTGAAGAGCTATTCTAGATATCTCAAGTCCTTCACCTTTGTGTCACGAAAACTGAAGTGGTACATGCATAGATTGACACAACCGTAGACAGCTTTTTATTGGACCTTTGGTGAATTAAACATTATCTTGAGTTCCGAGAGCCTTTTATCTAACATGAGCATTGCTCATATGTTTTCCGAATTCTCTCAATGCATATTGGTGTGAAAAGTAAGAAAAGGAGCAAAAGAAGGATTTACAAAGAAAAGAAGGACAAAGAAGGATGACCTGAAAAAAGTAGAAAAGAAGAAGGAAAGAAGGATCGCTGCGGGGTCTGTGTCAGTGAACAATTCTCTATGGATGAAAATGAAAATATTGTTTCAATATTGGAATCAACAGCAACAAGTAATAGTTTATCCCTTTTTGTTGTTATTATATGATATTTAATAATTTTTCGTTGATTATTATTTTTAGCAACATTAAGTAATACCGATAGTGAGTACAATATTTTTCCTGTTGGAATAAGCGCATGATTTTTTTTGAAAAAAAAGTTACTTATTCAGAAAAAAGTAGTTAGAACTTTTATTTTTATTTTATTTTTTAGCTAACATATCAACAACAACAGCTGGTAGAAGTAATATGCCGATTGTTTTTTCTTAATAGGTTTTTATTTTTTTTATCTTCTTCAGCAATCACAACTACCATGGTTCCACCAAATTTATTGATAAATCCAGGTGCTGAATCAGGATCACTTCTTGGTTGGAATCAAACTGGTTCTTCTCCTGCCATTGTTGATTCAAATGGACAATTCAATGAAAATTATTATCCACATACTGGAAATTTTTGCTTTGCAGGGGGATACGGACCTGATTCGCCATCAAGATTAACTCAAAATGTTAAACTATTGGGTGGTGTACAAGGTTTTACGGCAAGTCAACTTGATGCTGGTTCTCTTAGAGCGGAACTAAGTTTTTACTATCAAACTTGGTATAACATATTGCTCCCTTATGATCTAGTTCAAGTTAGTTTAACATTTCGATCATCTGCTTCTATATTGAGCACAGCGGATTCTGAAGAAAAAACTTGCACGACGTCCAATCCAGGATGGTGTCGTCTCATCAATACGTTCCCATTACCCAGAAATGTACGAAGTATTGATTATACGATGACATTTATTCGTAAAGATGTTGTAGGCAGCAATATAGACTGCTATGTTGATGACAATTCATTGAGAATTATATAACTATTTTTCTTTTCTTCTAAACTGAGACAATTATATTGATCAATGCATTGTTTTCTCATATATACTTTCTGCAACATTTTTTCAATAGACTATCATTAACAGTCATGTTAGACACTTTTAAGAAACGATTTACCCAAAATAAAACATCACTTAAATCGATGGATTCTTTAGTATTGAAAGAAAATGAAACGCTTTCTCCAGTTGTTTCTCAAAATGATGGTAATAACTTTACTTTCAACTGACAGGTATTATAATTAATATAAGTTTTTCATGCTTTTTAATTCTCTTCCTGATTAATTTATTATAAAAATAAAGAATTTTTTTTTCCTTCGTTTTCTTCTCTTTTACGCTTGTGACGTTTCGTTGTTGAAAACAACTTCGTCAGACGATGTTAAAATGAACGCACATACAACTTGAAACAAAATATATAGATA